GATTTTCTCCTCTCTCCATTCCAAACCATATATTGTGCTTTTTTTTGGCCCCTTATGTTTTTCATTTATTTGTTTTCACCCCTTATTTCTACTAAAATAGTAAATCAGACACATTCTCATATGAATTTTACTGTTTTTCCGCCCCTTCTTTTTCTGATTATTCAATTTCAGCCCCTTAGTTCTAAATAAACAGTTGAAAAAAGAAAAACAAGAAAAGGTTCAAATTAAAACAGCACCATTAGTCCCCATACAATTCCAAGTTTGTCACAACTATATAAATATACACATTGCATGCAAGAAAAATGTTCAGAAAGGGTAACAAGTGAGAGATGCTCAGAATGGGAGAGTTCAAATGCTCGATTAGGGCAGTAAAAGTTAAACGATACAAGTGCAAGAAAAAAAAAATGATCATCTTGTTATATAGAGGCCGAGCTCGTTCTACGCAGTTGATACTTTGGCTCTGGTGATGGTATGCTAGGCAATGTTTTATCAAATTCCTGAAATTCCAAAGAAAAATAAAATGGAGAGTGAGTGAGTCCATAAAATCCAGAAAATAACACGTGCAATTAATTTATTAGATTTGCTGTGTTCTGTTTATGAGGCGAAAAAATTAATGAATCCAGTGATCATTTCTTGGTAGTTTAGTCTGAGAAAGTAGAACTAATGCACAAGGAGATCATCACAGGCTATGCAGACAGTATTTAAGTGTCGAACCGTGAATATTTCAATATGCCACTCTAATTTTTTTCCAAGTTCTGTCTAAGTGTCTATGCAAAATAAACACACTCTTTAAGATATTGAAGTGTGCAAATTAAATGTAAGTATGGTTCCTAGTTTCTTATCTAAAAAGGTTCAAGGTTGATTCCTTAGCGTAGAAAATTAGTTCGATACCGAATTTGTTAACAGCGTATGAAGGAATATAAATTGAAGCACAACATCTTTCGAGAGTAAGAAAAAGCATAGCTCTTTTAGCTAAACTGTTGAGTTCACCGAACAATACACGCTGATGTTTAGGTAAAGTAAAAAAACAATGCCATGTCATTATTGCCAAAAGAAAAAAGTATATGAAATGAAACTCCAAACTTCAAAGTTCAAACAAAAAATCAAAACCTTTCGTCTCTTGAGCCTCTCGTTCTCCTCCTCCAGACGAGTAACCTTATTCTCCAGCTCATGCGTGTAAGCCTACAGAACATAAATCCCGAACAGTATCATATACTACATCAAACAAAACAAAACAAAACAAAACAAAACAAAAAAAATCGAAAAATTACACAAACACACACACACACACACACAAAAAAAAAAAGATCACCTGCTTCCTTGCTCGTGATCTAGCAGCAGATTCCCGATTCTTGATCATCCTCTTCTGCCTCCTCTCAACACTCTTTTCAGCTATATCATCCTGTTTTCGGACCGGACTCTGAGTGTCGGATAAAGCGCCCATCAACAAGGGGGATGACATCATCATTTGACTTTCCGGGTAGCTATGCTGACCTGGCACGAAAACTGCCGGATAGTTCATCATCCACTGGGCCTGCTGAGTCGTCAGAACTTCTACTGAATCTTCGGGCCCCTGTGTCGGGCCCACATTCCTCATTGACCCGGTCGCCACCACACCCGCTTTGACCAGGAAGTCTTCCAATGTCATCTCGCCAAGTGTCGCCTTCCGGTCGAGTAAATTCCTCTTTTGCCCCTGTTGCTGCTGCTGGATGTCCTGCCACACTTGGTCTACCGTCTTCTTGCTCAGATCAGTCGGCAGCATGATGTCCGGGAAATGGTCTGGGCCCAGCCCATTATCAGTGGGCCCGGCTTCTTGGTTGCCATTCTCAACAGTCCACACCGTTTTCAGAAGCTCGTCAAGGTTCATAGTGGCAAGAGGCTTTCCTAAGTCACCTAGCTGGTTTTGCACCTCATCGAAAGTGAGCCCGTATAAAGATCCTTGCCGGGCCAGCGGGTTGTATAACGGGTCATCGGTTTGGGTTTGCGCCTCCCCATTGCTATCACTACCACCTTCTTGAGATCCCATCAAATTGTCTTTTCTTCCACTAAAATAAATTCTAGAAAAAATCGATTTTCTCACCAAAAAATCAGTCCAAACAGGCCCCTAACTCAATCAATTGCAGCAAACAAAGCACTAAAGCCCAGGAGTTCTTTTTTTTTTTTTTTTTTTTT